GTAACTTTTTTCGTTTTTGAATTATAATTTCTATTTTGAGTCTAATGAAAATCTATTCCTTTTATAAATTATGAAGCTACTCGTAATGCAAAATAAAAATGAAAAAATTCTAACCGAAATACGATCGCAATTGAAATGATAGTGATAATTTTAAAAAAGTATTTACAAATTCATATAGGTACATAATTGCTCATTCTTTTAATGTATGTATAAATATAATAATAATAATATACTAGTATGAAAATTTTGAATATAGAATTTTGGATTTTTATTATTGTATACTAATTATAGTAATTTCTTTAAAATTCATTTTTACCGCTTTTATGAATGTGCATACTCGTATGGATATGTAAGTGATCCTTATAAGAAAATTATTCTCTTTTATTCAAATTTATGTAAACATAAACTTTTCACATAGGTACTATTACAATTTCTGCATAGGTACATACATAATTAGTTATGTGTAGGTATAATATAATAATATACATAATACGTTTTTTGAAATACCGAAAATTCAATTGAGCTTAAAATTTTTCTTTGAATTCAATTATTTTATATACATATATATACATATTTTATAATAAAAGAAATAATAACAAAGTATTCGAAATAATATATGCGATTCCTTTAAAATATTATAATTCCTTAATTATAGGAAATAAGTCGTTTATAATATAATTATTAAAGAAATTAAATTACAAAAGACAGGAAATAATTTTTTTTTCGTTATTGTTTGGTCCTTAATAATTTTTAATATCTTTCTTAGATACTCAGAATTTTTTTGTATTTTATACACAAAATTTTATTCGGAATTTATTTAGGATTTGCTTTTATTTTCATTATTCTTATATTTTTTAAAGAATAAAAAATCGGAAATGAAAAACAAAGTTCAAGTACTTTATTCCTAATGTTTATAAATAATACAAAGTTATATACTCTCATATTATAGCATAATATTTACGTTATTATTCATAACGGTATCAAAATATGATAAACTATGTACATATAATATTACAAAATATAAATGTTAATATTCCATAAATCTGCATATATATACGTATGTATGGATGTATATTCAATATATTTTATATACCTGACATTGTGTAAATGATGTAAAAATTTTTGAAATTTCTTTATTTGGAAATATGTACATATAGTAAACGAGTATATATTTGTATGTACCTACATATTATATGTATGTAAAAAAATCATCAAATTTTAAAATTCTATAATAATAATCACTGATGATCAGATTAGATTTACAAAAGAGAGCAGTCATCAGGGAGCTTACTTGATTTGCTTTGATTTTTATATGCATAAAATGTACATAAACATTTAATAATAATACGAGTATTTTCATATACTTATGTATCGTATATTACATATGTACATAAATATAATATTGTATTAAAAGTTTTTGTTATTTATTATAATATTATTTGTTATTATATGTGATAAAAAAAAAAAAGGTTCCATTAACCGGAAATTATTACTAAAAATTTTTGTTCATTTTGACACAGTATTCAAAATGTGAATATGAAATAAAAATAAAAAAAAACACAAAAACAAATACAAAATAAAACTATAATATTAATGCCAAAAACCATCCGACATTATGCATTATAAAATATAGTTACATACATACAATAATATATGTATATAATCTAAGCTCATAATATAACTTTTGGGTCCATATATCCTCTTAATAAAATATTTTATAAGCCCCTCAATATACTTATATATATATATGTACTATAATGTAATTTAAAATGATCTTTAAGAAAAAGTATACCAACATATTATTATTGTATATTTTTCTTGTTTTTATTATTATTTATGTTATTATTGTAGGTCAACTTATTGATTGAATGTAAGTTTTAAGAAAAAATTCAAGTGCTCTTTTATTAAAAAAAAAAAAAAATTTATAAAATAAATAAAAAGAGAAAGAAATTTTAAATGAAAATAAAATTTAGATTAAAATTATTTAAATATACCAAATATAAATGGGATTTATTGTGTGTACATGGAATATGGAATATCATTAAAATACTGGCATAAATGTACGAGTATCATATGAGTACCAAGGGAACTTTGTTTTTTTTTTTTGGTTATTTATATAGTGTTATATGTATTTTATATATATATATAACATATGTTTTTATATGTAATATAAATATTATATGTACTTTATTATTTTTTTTTTTAATGTAAGCATAGTAGAAGTGATAATGGAGACAGTTTTCGATGTTAAGCCGAGATAAGAGAATTTTATCAAATAATTTTTTTAGAAAAAATAAAGAATTCTAATTTTTTTAAATAAATACAAATATATACATTTCTTTTGTATTCCCAAAGCAGCAATATTAGAATACAATATAGTTTTGTCAAGCAGCTTGAAGTATTTTTCAAAATTTCGTTTAAATTCAATAAATTTATATTATAATAAATTAAATATGTATATTTGAGTGTAAATTATTCTTAATTATTATACTTAATCCCAAGGTATATACAATATTATTTAACAATATATTATTTTCTTTTATTCTTAATTTCTAATAAAAAATTTATTTGATAAGTGTGCTTTGCAAAGATTGTCTCCAATATAGTTATTTAATTTATGGACTTTCTTTGAAATAGCAATATAATAATTAGTTAAAGCGACAATACACCTTTTTTCCAAAATTTTCTTTCCTCACCTATACATACATACATATATGAATACATATCTAAATTCATATATATATGTATATAGATGACGTTAAATCTTCAAATATGAATCTGCTTTTTAATCAAAGTCTGACATTAGATTTTATCTGATGAAAAAAAAATAAAAATCTCCATATTTGATTATGACATTATTATAGGGGAAGCCAATTTTTTTTAAAAATTTTGGTTTTTTTACCAAAGCTTTGAAATCCAACCAATTTTATTTTTGATGAATAACAACGGCTCCATCTGATGTCAATGAATTATTTTCTCATGACTCTTATTAAATTTATATTAAAATGATGTTAAATGTACAATTTTATTTTTTGCTACAGAACTTTATCATTATACTACTAATGAGAACCAGAATGTATATATGTACCTTAGAATATCTATGTAAAAGATATTACATTTATTTAATATTTTAGCATGCAACATATGAGTAACGTATATCGATGTTTTTGGAAAAGATAAATCGATTTTCATTTTTAAATATTGCTGATGCATTTAAATCGATATTTGTTGATGCGTTGCTGCAACTCTACTTCTCAATTATCTTTAACTTTTAAAAAAGTAAGTTTTGAAAATTTTTAATTTTCAATATTTTAATAAAGTACAATACATATTATTCAAAATTTTTGTTTTAATACATCATGTTCAATACTTTTAAATGGAGAAACTTGTAAATCACTTAAATACAAAAAAAAAAAACAAAATTTTTTTCACTAAAAATATGAATTTGTTTTTCAAATAAAGAGTGAAATGTTATAAAGAAAATTTATGTTCAAATAAAGTCAGTTTAAATAACTTAATATTATATAAGATATAAAAAATGGAACCACATAGGTAAGTAGGTATGTACATGCATATATGTAAGTACAAATATTTGTTTTTATGTACAATATAATTTACGACTGATCAAAAATATTCCAAATTGTGGAGGCTTAAATTAAACTTGTAATTTTCACTTAAATATTGTAATATTCATATTTAGTAGTCTTATATGTATCTATTAAATAGGTAATTAATTTCCTATTATTTTAATTATTAAAATTTTTTTAATTATAAAAACTCTATAATTCCAAATGACACATAGATTTTTTAGGATAATCACTTTTTCTTGCACATAAATAGCTGGAAATTTTGTAAATACTTATTAGTTGTGGTAAACTAAATTTTATTAATTTAATTTAACAAAAGCGTATATTAAACATTTCAATTAAATTAATTTAATTTTGCTTGTAATTTACTTAAAAAGATTTCTTACATAGTTGAATTTTGCGATAAAATAAAAAATATATTTAAATATACTTATAAACATACAGGGATATAGATTTATAAATACATATGCATATACTCGTATATATATATAAAATATACTTTTTTCACATTATTATTATTTTTTTTTTTTCACTTTTAATAAAAGAAAAATTATTTCTCCGTAATATGTGTAGTAATATATTTAATGCATTTTTAATATAAAATAGTATGTGATTAAATGTTAAAAATAATCTATAAACACTGCGTTAGAAATATAATTTTGTATTTTATGCGCTTTAATTCGCTGATATTAAATTTTTTTTTTTAATTTTTATATTATTAATTTCAAATAAAATACGTCATAATCTTTAACAGAATATTAGTAGAATTTTTTAGTTTAACTTTTTCAATAATGACGCAAAGCAAATGTTCATTATACGGAATTCAAACTCGTACTGACATTCAAATTTTAAATATAAAAGCTAAAAGAATGCATATTAAGTGCTTCTAAGCTTATCTTGGGCTTATGATAATGTAGTTTATAGTATTTTGTATTTTTATTTTTTTCTAATTTTTTTTTTATTATTTACGGAAACTGCAAAGATATGTGAATGGTTAAGTTTTGATCCTGATGTATTTTTGAATAAATGAAGTTGGTTATGACTAAAATTAATAAAGCGAATAATTCAGTTTTTCTGCATATACGATATTTTTGTTAAATGGCCTTATATACTTAGTTTTGCTAAAGTTTTGCTAAAATAATATTTGTAATTTTTTTAATTGTATTGTAATTGATTATTCTGTTTATTTTTAAGTAAATTTCTTAGCAGTTTCAGCAAGTCTTGAAAATTTGCAATGTTTATTTAGTTTCAGTTTATAATAGTCTCATTTACTTTACATTTAAGAAGTATTATAAGGAAATTAAAATCATCATCCACTTACTGTAAAGCAAAATTTATTTTCTGAAATTAGAAATTTTCAACACTATAGGAATGACATTAATTATAACTGCTTTATTTTTAGTTCTTTCAGATATGTTTTATTTTAATTTTTACTTTTTTAATTCGTTTTTTTTTCAATATTTACAAAAATTAAATTAAAACAATTCTATCCATTTTACATTAACTAAAGAATTTTTGTTTGGCTAAAATTTCAATCTTTTCGAAAAATCGTTGAAATAATAAAGATTATACTTGATTTAAGTATAATTGAAATAAATCAATAATTTTAAATTTAAAAAAAAACAGCCTATTAAGTATATTTAAAAATATTTCCTTAAAAATATTTATTTTTTATCCTGGACATCTAAATATTTTCACAGTATGATCTTCTGAAGCAGTAACCAAAACATTTTCATTTGTATCGTATTGAATATCATATATTTCAGCTGCATGGCCGGATAATGTAAATTTTCGCTGTCCATTACGAACATCATATCCATAAATATTTCCTTGTATCGTTCCAACAACTAGCACATAGTCTGGAAGAAATTTCAACCTGTAATTACATTACGTGTATGTAATTAAAACTTAAAATTCCAAATGAATATCGATATTTACGTTGTTATTCCGTCATCTGGTTCTGGATGTTCACAAGTTGTTCTTAAAGTATGTTTAGAATAATCCCAAATTGCAATTTGACCTTGCAATGTACCACTAGCTACAATTTTAAGATCAGGGTATGGTGAAAATGCAACACTTTCTACAGATTCACCAGTATCAATGACCTCTTGAGCACCATTATTATTTGTAAATAGTATTTTTCCTAAAATTAAATAAGATTATATTTAAAATTAGGTATTGACAATTTATGTTATACCATCTTCTCCACCGCTAATATACATTGGATTGTCACTATCACAGGAAACAGAAGAAACACCATCTTTATGTCCCATATGATGATCTTTATTCACTTCCATTGTGACAGTATTACTCTTTATATCCCATAACTTTACAGTACCACCACCATATCCAGCAAAAAGTTTTTTTCCATCGGCAGTCAACTCGGCCGTTTCACATTTCTCACCATTTCCCGGTAAAACCTTGCAATCTCCAGATGGTATTCTCCACACATAAATTTCACCTTCAACGGAACTACCAGCTAACAATATATTTGCAGCCCTATGCCACATCATCCAGCCCATATCTCCCATCGAATATTCCCAAACTTTTTTTATCTCTTCATCACCGCTTATTTTGAAACAAAATATTTCACCAGCCATATCTCCTGTAGCTAAATAATTTCCATCAGAACTGAATGATGCCGCTATCACTGAATCTTTATGACCGGTGATTTCCTGCACCACTTCTCCAGTATTTCTATTCCATACATAAGCTTTATCATCTTCACTACCAGAAACCGCCCATGGTTTCGAAGGATGTAAAGAGCAACAGAATACCGCTAAATTATGTTTAGAGAAAGTTAAAATAGAATGATCTTCTTCGGGTACTTTTTCTCCTATAGCATTATCTCCTTCGTCTTCAATAGTTGATTGTGGCATACTATTAGCTATTTCAAGAAGCTCATCTAAAAAAAAAAATGCAAATACGTGTAAAAAATGCACAATTGCATTGCAAAATGATCATGGTTTATACCTTCATTTATTTCTTCAAAATCTTCTTCTGGAGCGTGTTCATCATCAAAATATATGAGCTCACCATCTTCATCTGATATATCACTCATCCTGGGTGGTGTATTGTCCCGCATAATAAGCTGGAAAATATTAAAAAAATAATATTTTGGAACTTAAAATAGTTAAACTATTTCAACAGGATTCCTTTGTTTTGTTTAGTTGTCAGCTGTCATGTATCAATAGTCAAAGTTGTCAAAATTCACGTGGGGGGAATATTACCATTGTGAATGATTATTGTTCTAGTACTTTTCTTTTGAAACGCTATTTTGAATTTTTAGTTATTTTCCAGTATTGCCACAATTTGTTTGGGTGTTTTAACGAAAAGTACTAAAAAAACAGCTAAATGTTTAGAATACGGGTTTTATTTTAAAATGTTGTATGAATTATAATTGTGAATAATTATCTTACATCTAATTTAACTTTTTGTTTTTGGTTGGTTGTTTTTGGTTGGTTTTCAAATTAAACACATAGTTATCATTATTAGAAACCTTTAAATTGTATTAAAACTGTAATTAAAGTATAAACACCCGATTCAGCTTATTAATTATAATTGCTGAATTATATCGAAATACAACAGTATTATTGCTGCATGTTCGCAGAAATTATTATCTGAACTATTTCTGGTAATGCTTGTAGGTACAGGTACATACTTATTATTTAATAGTACCGTTTTAATTGAAAAAAGAAATACTAGTTTTTGATTTTATATTTTGTGCTGTTCTAAATAGTTTCAAATATATATGTATATATATATAAACAGTAATATATATTTTGAAAAACTAATACCCTCATTACAGTCTAAAATATTGAAAATTCCAATGAATTTCGGATAAGGATTTATTATAATACAGTGTATCTATTAATCGCCTTTTAAATAAACTAAAAATCGTGAGTACCTGGAATATGCGGTACATTTATTGTACTAATTAATCATGACTAAGATACTAGAACTGTGCGAGTGTAATTAGAGTATTTTAATACATTGTACCCACATTTATAAAATAAATATGTAAAAAATTCTAATAAGAAAGTCATTTTTACTCAAATAACTCAATTCATTTAAAAAGCAATCAAGGCAAGCTAAGTAAGAAAAAACCTTATGGATTTCATACTTACTTAGTTACCTACTATCACTTATTGTACACAAAAAAATTCTTCCGCTTATTATTTTATCACTTAAGTATTAATATACAGTTATTAAAATAAACATACATACATATAAACCGCTGGACAGGAAATTCATAATTTATAATATTTCTCTATAGTTTCATTACTTTCGCCTCTGAAAGCTTGGTTTTCAACAATTATGAAAAAAGTAAATTACTATAAAAAGTAAACATTAACACAACGCACATTAATTTGTTGTTTATTTTATTATTTAAGTAGAAAAAAAAAGTATTCAATTAATATTTTATTTTCGTTTTACATTAAACTATAGTTTTTTTACCTTTGAAAAATTTCTCGTTTGAGAAAATAATAATATTTTTGATTTTATGTACATATGTACATATATAGGTATGTTTGTACGTGTGTGGTGTTAAATTTTATCATAATATATACTTAATTAACCCCATAATATATTTACGAGTATGCATTTAAGTAGGTACTTAAAGTTATTTCAAAATTTTTATTGATTGTTTCATTATCAAAATAATTATGGTTTAAACCGTTTATATATTAACGGTTTAAAATAAAGAAGATACGAGTAGAACTTAATTTACATGATAATCAATTAATAGACTAAAGATTCGAAAGTGAAAAATTTTAAGGAGAAAGTAAAATTTTCGCATTTGCGGTGAATTGAAAAATTTAGTAATTCTTTAAACCCGCATTATTATACACACAAAACGACTATAAAAAATACATAGAAACATGTAAGTAAAGGTTTGAACTTACTTGCATTTTTCTTTCGAAAAGTAATTATCTACTATCATCGAAAAAACTGCTTACATTACAAAGTATATTTTCGGATGCAAAACGGGCATGCATGACATAAAAATTATAAATGTACAGCAGAAGAAAAATAGCGGATTTTTTTTGGAAATAATTAGCGTTTTTTTGAAAAAATTTCAGTTGCTCAATTCAAAATTTTGTGTTTCAGCAGTTGTTTCTTGAAAATAGCAAGTCTAACAATAATCACCGGTATACTGTTATGTAGGTTTATCAATTGGCCGAAAGGTTTTCAACACAATTTTACTCTAGTTTCAACAACTTCGAAATTTTCGTCTACTACATGCGACATTTGGCTGCCGCAGTCATCTACCCTCTTCCGCGGGAGTCTCCCATCTACGTGGTCGGGAGGGATAAACATAGGAGCATGAAAATTTTTCAATTCTGCATTAGAGAGAGATGTCAAAGTCATGATATTGGAATGAAAATATGTGGAATAGACTTCGGACGAGACCTCAAGCATAAATATGTGAAAATTTTTTATTTCGATCTTTGAGCGAGACTCTGTGACCCTCTTCCGTGAAAAATAAAAATTTGCGGAATCGACCCTGGAAAGAGCCTCAAGCACAAATATGTGAAAATTTTGTAATAAAACAACGTGGTGTGTCAATATCAATTAAATTGCGTAGACAACTGAAATACTATATGTATATGTTTTTAGTTGAAATAAAACTTCCTTTCCATCAAAACGCGAACCACATTTTTAGTTTTAAGATATTTAAATTTATGATGAGGAGTTATATTTGTATGATTTAAATATATAATACATATAGGTCTAATCCAGGCTAATCTAGAAAAAAAATTATTGTCTTCTTTTTAGTTCGCCAGAAAAACGTAGTTTTTTTTATAAAAGTTTTTTCTATGCTATGTTATTATTTTTAAGTATATCATGTTGTTCATGCACTGAATGGATTACACTACTAGATCAAAAAAAAATCATAATTGTTTTTGTTATTATTATTTGAACATACACCTGATTGCCTATTATACAATGCAAGTGTAAGGTACTGTATTAATTTTACTTGTATATAGTGTCTTTAACATAATCTCTTGTGTATATTGCGAAATAATTCAATTGCAATTATTACGATAAGATCAAGTAAGTACGTTTTTTTTTTCTTTCTCTACGCTTCATTTATTCTATATATTTTATTTTTTAAAAAATAAGTTAGTAAGGTAAATAATAATAATGGCATAATAATACAGCCAGTTTTCAGTATAAAATTTTGAAATTACTTACATACATACATATTATGTTAAAGTTACTAAACTTTATATTAGTTTCAAATTACACGCACTAAAGAAACTAAATATTGTACTAAATAAATATATATAGATAAGTATCTATATTCGATTATATATAGAAAACACAATGATTGTTATTGAAAACAAGAAATCATAAATCTATCATTTTATTGTGTCTGTTATTATTATTTTTATTATTAGGATACTTATTTCTCCTCATTTTATAAAAATAAACAGACATAAAAATAAAAGAATTTGGATTTGTAGGTAAAATTCAAGGCACAATCATCCTTTCTCTATGTATACAGACTTCTCAGTGTTGTCGTTTTAAAATAACATGTTGCAGTGAAGAGGATGTTGAAATTCCAGTAGACTGAACAACACTGAAGCAATTTTTTTTTTGGCTTACATATATTTTGATATAAAGAAGACTAATCCATCGGAAGGACAGCTTTTAAAATTGGAAATATATATTATTATTATCTAAATATAAGTATATAATTTATTATATTTATGACAATTATTTAAATAAACAACACAGTTATAATATTTTATAGGTTCACTTGTCTTTTTAATATTAGGAAATTGTGATATTTCTTAAAAAAAAAATATGATATTGCAAAATAAGCCTGTGATAAAAAGTTATATATTCACATTAAAAACTAAAAATTAAATGTTTTTGAACATTTATGAAAATTCATCTTTAATTCGAATTGCGCAAAATAATTTAACTTAAAATTTTAAAGAAAAGAATAAGAAATTGTTTTATTTTCTAAATGAAAAAATTGCAGTAAATGGAAACAATTTGCAGAGTTCCTATAAATGACGCTAAATTGCAGCAAAAACGGCAACACTTAGACAATAATGACTTAAACATTAATTAAAGAGAAGAAAATATATATTTTTTTTTTTATTATACAAAATTTATTTTTATATTTTTATTTTGAAATTATAAAATGATACGTGAGATTATTTTATAAGTTTATTAAGTATAACTATTTTGAAAAATTTATTTTATTTATAGAAATTATTATTTTTTTCTTTTTTGTTTTGTTAACATTAAATATTTTTCTATAATTATTAATATCAATTAAATTTATAAAAAAAAAAATTGTGATTTTACGTACATAAATTCGAATTGGAACCTATATAAATAAATTAAATCTTTAAATTGAAAAAATTAATTTGTCATACAGACAAGTCGTCAATTTATAAAAAAAAGAATTCTAATTACTCTTAATGTAAGTCGGTATTTTAATTGAAAAGGAAACAAAAGTGTTCTATTTTTCTTTTCATGTTTGTATGTCAAAAATGTGATTTTAAAGTAGATTAAAATTATTTCAAAATGAAGTTATTCTAAACAAAATGCCAATTAATTGTTCTTAGAAATGAAGAAAAGGAAGTTCTTTAATATGTTAATTACATGTTATACAGGCTCAATATGCCACATTTTTAATGACATATAAAATTTAAAGGTTATTAATTAATAAAGTTTTAAAATTAAAATCGCTAATCACATAGCAAAAATAAACTTTTAAATGAACGACTTGGCGCAAAATTTAAATTTAAAAATACAAAAATTACAAATAATTCCAATGTTAGCTGGTTTAAATAAATATTTAATGGCTCCTTTCCTTTTTTGGAATTTTCAAAACAAATTAAAATTTATAAACTGGCAAATATTTAAAGAACTATAGATTTTAGGTCGAATATTTTAGTTTAGAAAACAAATCGGTACAAAATTTTTATACATGAAACAGCAATTTGTTAATTTTCATTAATAAAAATGTTTTAAAAATTTTCATTCAGGGGTACGCTCAAAATTTTACAAAATTTTTTAAAAATTTTCGTTTTTTTTTGACAAAGTAAGGGCATATTCCAAATTTTGAAAAAATTTTGAAATATTTGTATTTTTTTGACAAGGGGTGGAGGGATTTACAAGATTGTAAATTTTTGACAAAATTT